TCATTCAGTTTGATGACAATAATATTTGAAGACGAGGAAAATTAGATATAATCTATTCATTAATTTCGATTATGTAATAGTTTACACTGGTTTTGGGAAACATAAGTGGCGCCACGTTTAGTTTTAGATATTGTTCATACTTCCTACCTATAACAAAAATTGTTTCTATTTATTCCTTGTATTTAATTGTATTATTATATATTAGTAGTAGAATTTAGTCGGCAAAGGCAAAGAAAAATCAGTAAATACAAAACAAGAGTACATCTAATGCTATTACGTTAGTTTTTATAAACATGCTTTCAGTTTCAGTTTCAGTTGTATTTTTCAATTCCAACAGAACAGTAATTTTGACAAGAAATCAGGTGTACAATTCTGTATTCAATAATATAATACATTTTACATGGTTTAAAGTTATACAAATAGAAAGTATACATAAATATCCAGTATAAAAGTTTTTTAAGATAAACCTGTGGAAATAGAGGGATCCACTGAAAAGCAGAGCTGGTAAAATGTGGATCACTCAAAATAATGACAAACAAAATGTCGGAAACATTTAAATAAGAAAAAATAATACATATGACAGTCTTATGTGAACTACATTGGTTACCCATCAAGTCTCGTATCCAGTTTAAAGTACTTCTATTAACCTTCCAATATGTACATCAACTAGCTCCTTTTTACCTCACCGAATTGCTAACTCCATATAAACCAGATAGAATACTACGTTCCAGTTCCAAGTCTCTGCTTTGTGTTCCACACACCATGACAAAGTTATACAGGGAAAGGTCTTTTTCATATGCAGCCGCTTTTAGTGGAAGAAGTTACCTGAACAACTGACATGTATGGGATCCTATAAAAACTTTATCAATTCTCTGAAAACATATCTCTTCACCACTTCATAAATAATCAGAATAATGAACCCGGTGCATTGTTTTGTCTTTTTCTTAAAATGCACAAAGACATTGCAATTCGCCTATGTGTGTTATCGCTACATAAAAATGTTTTTTGTTATTATTATTATTATTACATAGATTACCAAAAAGCGGCAGAATAATGATAACATTGTAAATCCGTAATTTGAAAACTTGTTACGACACGTAATTGCATTGATTCATTTAAACGCTTATTCATATTTCTGCTTTGTTCTTCAACTAATTTCATTTTTTCTTCATATTATGACACATTTTGACAGAATTCCGATTGCGTTTTATTCTTTTTCATGACATTTTCTTTATTCTTCCTTGCACTTAAGTGAAAGCTCTTATAGAACTGATTTAAAAAGGAGTTACCTGATATTGTTGCCATAGCAATACTGAAGAGCCTTAGGTTTCTGAAACTAAGGCCAATCTCATCAAGACAACTAACAGCCTTTTCACACACAGCTAAAATTCATCGTATCCAGAGATGATTAGTATAAACGTGTTTAACTCAACAGTTTTAAACATGTTTATAGAAAATTTTCCCAGTGTGAACATCGTTTATACGATGTTGGGATAGATACGAAGTCGCGATTCATACGCCCCTAAAAGCAGGCTGCAGATACGAAGTTCGTATCTAGAGAGCTTGACATTTTGTGTGTGAAAGGTTATTCGTGTTTAAACGTGTTTCAAACGTGTTTAAACTGGATGGAGCGTGCACTTTGATTGATATGACATGACCTTCAATGCGCAATAGCACTACTGCGCATTTTACGAGCAGTAGTTAATCACGAAACGATTAACGATCGCACCGAAATTTCTGTGTGTGAAAGGCTCGTGATTAGTTTAAACACGTTTATACTTATCATGTTTATAGAATTTTAGCTGTGTGTGAAAAGGCTGTATACTGTGTCTTCTGTTATAATTAGCTGTATTTCTTTCGACAGCTTATCAAGATGCTATGTCTAGAGGCCAAGGAATACAATTCATTCTCTTCTTGATTAATTCGCGATTTGATAAGAGTGAGAGAATTACTAAGTATATAAACCTTGCAATCAATTATTACTAATTTTCACCACTTTCATACACGTTGAAAATTACAGGTTTCTTTAGTCAGAATGACGGGCATATTATGGTATGTTTATGTATTATATTCTTATTTTGTTATGTTTATGTATTATATTCTTTTTTTGTTTTTTTTTGCTCTTTTATCATGTTCGGATCATCATTGTCATCATCATGTAAATTTTTTTTTTTTTAAAGCAGAACGGCCAATCTATTCAAATAGGACCCGTTCTTCTTTATTCTATATTTTTAGAAAAATTGATATCGCTGCGTAGTAGAGTAATTTATAGTTTGAATTTTTTGTCCGATACTTTTTTTTCTCCACAACAATTTCTCCATAACAAATGAAATTGAAATAAATGAAATTAGATGGAAAGATTAATTAACCTTACTTATGATAATTATTAACTCGCGCAAAAATAATTAGAAACATAAAAATGTGAATTGGCGCCCTTTATTAGTTTTTAAATCATTTTGATGAATTTTACATGACTAAACCTAATTACTGTCTGTGATGGTTGATGTTGTATGCTTCATTAAACCAAAGAATAGCAAGTACTAAATGCCGTACCAAAAAAGCTCTAGAAATGCGTGTGATTATCATTAAAAACATCATAAAAGGTGTTTGATGACTGCATTTACATCTCATAACACTTTTGTCTTCCTTATTCCCCTTTCTCCCACCCCCCCCCCCCCTTTCCACTCTCTCCCTTACTTTCGCTTTTCGTAACTTCCTTATTAGTTATCCGATTTTAATCAAATGTGTTGGCTCTTTTTCTCTTGTTTTTCTGCATCTATTAAAAGGAAAATATTATTTGGAGTGGACTTAACCTTTAATGTTCTTCTTTTCCTCTTTTTCTGTCTCCCTTTCTTTCATAATGTCGTGACGACTTAAGAATAAAGAGGTGCATACTTATAAAAAAAATGGTGAATCATTGATGATATCCTTTCTATTTCAACACACTGTGGTGTTTTAAATAAAAGGATAACGCAAAATGCTTGTAGACATTGGAAGTCGGTATTGCGGTACTATTTTACTGCTAATCCATGGAACTCCCCTGGATTATGTTTCCCTATATCCTTTTCTTCCGGATGAAGGTTGCATGTTCCTCTCGTGCGGATCAACAAATGGCACCCCTCCCCCCCCCCACCCCCCTCTCTCTCTCTCTCTTTCAGAGTTTATGATTAATGTGCTCATTATCGGCTCATAAATTCGGGATGACACCATCTTCATCTTCCATATTCAATCACAGGCAAGTGGGCTGCATACCAGACGCCTTTTGTCTTCCCGTATTTATGTCTTTCGAATTCACCCGGTAATTTATCGCACTCTTAAGGTAATCGCTGAACATGGAGAAGGATTTCAGGATAAACGGTAACAATGAAACGAGGTATTTAAACCTTATTAATATCTTTTCAGTAACCCCTTGTTAGGAGCAAATCGAGTCAGTTTGGCGTCATGGATTTAGATTGCGGGCCAGTTTTGTTCTCTACGGCACGGTTTCGGGCTTGCCGCGAGCGATCGTCATATTTCAGCAATTTGACGACAATTCTATGAAAAAAGTGGTCTCTTTAGTGCCATTATTATCCTTGCCAAAAGGAGGATAACGATTGTGGGACAATGGTGAGAGATAGGAGGCGAACAAAAGTACTTGGTGTTCGTTTTTCTCTCTTCTTCACCCGCAATCCAGCCTACCCCTCTTCGCATTGTTCAACGGCGACAGACTGTCAACACCCGGGGCTTTGGGCCGCGAGAGAAAAGAAGTTGCCGTCTGTTGGCAGCCACCGCCAATAACTCGTGCGGTGTGCGAATTCTATGGGAGGCCTTTGACGTTGATATGTAGGATATTAATCCAAAATGAATGGGTATTTTATTGTGAAATGAATGTCAAAGTTGTTAAATGATCCATAGGATTTCCTTTCAGACCTCATTGTAAAGCGATGAGTGATGGTTTTGATCACCGATTGACGATGAGCCAAAAAATTCCTTTAACCTTGACGTATGTCCCATTTAAGCTACATTTTGAGGCGTCCGTTCATATCGTTAAAAAGTCATAAAAATGGAACTTTTCTGCCTTCAAAATTGACTTTAAGAAAAGGATTGCATGGTTGTCCGTGTTCAGCAAAATATTGGCTGTTGGTTGCCTGTTGTTGCCTGGTGCGCAAACTATCGAAAAAACCTTTTCTGCTTTCACCCTTATTGGACGCTCAACAACCAATCAGGATCCAGATAGCATGCGCTTCGTCTTAATTGTCTTAATTGATAGACTTATTCTGCATGATTTTTGTTTCGGGAACTAACATTTGAGTTTGATGGCAATATGTAATGAATTGTAAAATTTGTAATAATCATCTGATCTTCAATCTGACTGTAAAGTTAATATAGTAAGATAACCTTTAATGTTGCTTTTTACTCATTTTGTATTTTTGCGCCAAAGAGGTGGAAGTTTTAAATTAACACCAGTAGATGATTTTGAATACATTATGCACGATGTGCTGTATAGCGTAGTTTGACAATAAGCATTATTGCATTTAAAGATTAAAATATCGTATTTTACGAAGCAATTATCAATTACATATTGGCTTCAATACGTCACCTACTGCCTCTTTCTTGCGATTTCTATTTCTGCTTTAATTTTTTCCTCTTGTTTCTCAGGTTTCCTCCACTAAAACAAAAAAATCAAAACATCTGTCAATCAAATAATAACTAAATAAACAAGTTCTTCTCGCCTAAAGAACATCCTTTCATTTCCCTCATTAGGATGGATATTTTTCTCTTTGAAAAAAAACTATTTCTACATTTCCTGGCCTGAGGAAAACCAACATCACTTGGTCTCATGAATATTATATGAAATATATTTTCGAGGTCAAGATAGCCTTTAGGAGAGTGATATGGATGGAGATTGTCATCTTTATTTTCAAAGGTTTCTAGAATATTCTGATTTCCTGTATTATATAGATGATCAAGTAAAGTGAATAATACATGTAGATGAAATAACTGTCATTTTTCACATTGTTAGGGGCTTCCACTTCACAGAACCAATCCTCGAAAGCAGTAATACGTGTATCAGCGGAGCTAGGGTGAGTTTAAACAAAAAATCGGGGTAGGGGAGGGAAGGGGGCGAGTGAATGTACCGACATGTGAATTACTATACATTACCGACACAGGGTTTCATGAACTTTGCATAAATGTACAAATGTGCCGACAACATTCTCCCCTCCTCTCTCCGAATGGATATACGATGATGATCAAAATGATCAAAAATATTCTCTTCATATAAGGACCTTCCACTTCCGTTTCAACACAGAAAGGAAAGATCCGTTATTGGCACACTCAGAATAATTTTGTACACAGAATGTTATTATTATGCATTTGACATTTATTCAGGGATTTTGCTTTTATCTTTCCATAATATTATTTGTTTTGATTTGGGCACCCACCTTGCTTGAGCTTATGAAATAGTCTAGGTCACTTTAATCCCTTTAATTAGATGACGGGAAAACATTCATCCTCGAGTCTAAAGAAGGCGTTTTGATCTTGTCTTAATTAGCCGAATTAAGTTGTTGTTTTGAAATGTTTAATTTCCTCCTCCTCCTCCTCCTCCTCCTCCTCCTCTTCTCCTTCTTCTTCTTCTTATTATTCTTCTTCTTCTTCTTCTTTCTTCTTCTTCTTCTTCTTCTTCTTCTTCTTCTTCTTCTTCTTCTTCTTCTTCTTCTTCTTCTTCTTCTTCTTCTTCATAATCATCTCCTTCGTCTTCGTACCACTCCTTGTTTTATCCATTTATAATCAACCTTATATTTCCTTCGCAGTAGGTCCCGCGTATCCACTACCTTCCCACCCAAAAAGATGCTTAAAAAAAGTTCGTATATCATTTGTTTTGTTTAATTTATAGAGATTGCTATCTCATGAAGACAATGGGATCATGTGAGTTCGACGGCATTACCATTTCTTTATTTTCTTGTTGTGTATCATAATATTAATAATTCCCCCCCCCCCTAAAAAAAAGAAGTATTTTCTCGATACTTTTCATGCACAAATTATATTACTAGAAGGCGGTGCAAGCATATAAAAACATGTAGGCCTTTTCAGGTTTCTTTAGCCGGATCTTTTCATGAACCTCGAGAAAAGAGATGCTTTGGATAAGTTTGTAAATAAAAATTAAAAAAAAAAAAAAAAAACCTTTTCAATGCTTATCTTAAAAAAGTTGAACAAAACTAAGCATATTTTGTACATTGTATAGACGTATAAAGTGCGGTTTAGTTACCACACGTATTCAAATACCAAGCTATTTTCCGGTCAATGATGTATAGGCAAAAATGAAATCATTTCATTGTGATTAATATTATGACGGTTAAGACAATAGAAACGAAACTGAAAGTAGTTTCCGCGAAATCGTCGACCAAACATTGTGAGTGAGAGAGTAGACAAAAAGATGACACGCCCATACGCAGATCAGGTGTGTCTATAGCTGCAGATAGATACTAAACTATCTTCATAGCCCGCATCAGCACCGTGGCGCCAGCCAACCACACATTGTCACGATTTTCCAAAAGATTACATCCTGATTCGATCATCAATGGTTTAATTCGACGCTGATCACCCTGGTCTGTTTAGTCAAGCCTTTGTTTGGGCGTTCAAAGATGCTAGCCATGTTTGCATTAATCGATCGGCAGGAGAATAGAATACAGATACATGCACCCATTCCCCCTAAATCGTCATTGACAGGAACCCACTTAAATTGCCCGCTTAAAGAGGGGGTCAATTTGTTTCGTGTTTGTGTTTGTTTCGTGGGGCGGACCAAAGAACGGTTTTCATGTCGCACAAATCGACACACAAGACGCGCATTGAGACGGGTCCGAAGCCATTCACCCGACGCCATTTTTGAAAGCCGGGATGACAAATACTTTCATTATGTTGCCACTCTTCCTTGTCTTCGCCTTTTATCTCGACGAATTTTGCTCTTTAGAAGGCTGGCAATTATCATGATCGAAAAGAATCCAGCCTAAATGCCCTCCTGATCTTTTCGGTTTAACTTCATGAAAATAATGTGTGCTATGCGAAGCGGAAGACTGGTCTCTGGTTAATTTGAGCGAGGATCACTGAATGCTCCCCCGGCCGATCGGGCGTCAGACATACATTAGTCCGCCTTACAGTGGCGGGGGCTTTGTGAGCTCCCTAGATAAATTGCCCATCAATAATATTCTTTCAAACTAAGAAGGGAAACACAAACGGTTGATAGATTTCGGAACATAATAAGCTTTAGTCGTATTATTTACATGTCATATAGATCATGACTCCTTTACTTCGGGAAGGTAGCCTAACAGGGGTTAAAGAACTACGTTTATGCCTTTTTGTCTACAAAACGAAGCACCAAAAAGCCAGAACATCACATTAGTACTTGTAAAGTACACGATTAATAACATTTAAATATGGAGAAATAACTATAAGGGGGATCGGATTAACGAATAAGATGGAGAAAAGATAAAGAAAGTGAGAGAGGAAGAGGGAGAAGAAAAGGAAAGGATGGTAAAAGGGAAAAGAAGAAAAAAGAAGGAGGAATAAGAAAAGAAGAATAGCAAGAAGAGCCCAAAGGAGAAGTTGGAATTGAAAATAAAGAGAAAGGAAATGATTAAAACTGTTGTTGAAGATTAAAAAATAGGAAAATGCAGACTTTTTTTGTTGAAGGTCGAGAAGTATAGACGAGGAGACAAAGGCGTATCATGAACAGGGTTGTTGTTGGTAAATGTTTAATGGCGTTCATTCAGTAATGAATATATACGCCATAAATATCTTCAATTTTATAAGAAAATCAGTTATAGTCTTCATAAGAAAACTGAGAATAAAGATTTGTAATGAAATAATTAATTAATAAGTAACGCAATTTATTCAGAGTCTCTGGATGGTTTGCAACTTCGTGTTTCTGCTTTTTTAAAGTTTAATCTGGTCAGCCCGGTTTCGATTGCATGAAAACTAGCCGAACAGGGGAAAACTTGTGTAGCCCTCCCCCCCCCCCCCCCCTTGAAGGCCAAGAAATTTAAAACATTGTTATGGGCACATGGAGATGCCTATGCAGCCCCGTCATGTACATGGTGATTCAATGTATTTCACATGAGTGACTGGAAGGAAAGATTTTAAGGGGAAGTCCATCCTGATAAAAAATTCGGTTTTGATAGGGGGAAATTGAGAGGAACAGATCAGTGAAAGTTTGAAAAGATCCGATTGAAAAAAGAAAATTATGATTTAGTTGATTTGTGATCAATCAAACATAAATTGGCAACTCTGTAGCGTATTTTGCTGGGTCGCCTCCCATTTGTCATGTACTTTAAAACAATTAGAAATTTCTATTTTCCTTAAAGGAAATTTTCAGACATACATGCACCCTAAATATAGTTATTGCAAAGATGTTTTTATACGCCTGTTTTTATCTATGTATGTTATCTTATCCGTCATCAATAACTATGAAAATGAAAGTGTATGACATGTTCTGTTCAGAGCATATTAGAGAGGACCTTTCAATATACGTGCAGTGTTGATAATTTGTTTTCACTGTTGACAACTTCGAAAATTTATAACTGCTCTATTTTTTTTATTTTATTGGATATTGCTCAAACTTTCACTTATTTATTACCCCCTTTTTCTGCTTTTACTTATATTTATACCAGATATCAGGGTGCACTTCCCCTTTAATCCAGTTTATTTGAAGAAATGTACATGTATTCACTACATCGTGAAAACAAAACTTTTACTGTTATCTTGGTTAGAAATCATTTTCTTTCCACGGCTTCAATTACGTGCTATAAATACTGATCTAAAATTTCAGTGGCACATTATTTTAATCTTGCTACTCTGTTCTTGGGAATAAATCAATTTTGATGAAATTAATGAAAGTTAACAATAACTTTGGTATCAGTATTACGTAAGTTCTGAAAATGAACTATTAGATCTTCTTAGAAACTTTCATGCGATAATTAATTTCTTATAGTTGCCTATATTAAAGTGATAAGCCAATCAAAATGTATTTTTAATGTCAATTATTTCATATCGTTACTCCTTTCGTTCATGTATTCTATGAAGTTAATAGCATGTTGGATAACCTTTCGACTTTTCATATAGATGGTGTATACATTTTCAATACACATGCCACATGGGAGTTCGAAAATATTGAACATCACATCAAAATACGAAAGGAAATCTTGACCAAAAAACCATGACAGTCACGATACGCGATTTTAAAATTGATTTTCACTTGTGTTCCTACAGGTTACAATAAATATGATGAAAAAGATGACTATTGCATCAAATTAATTTTGAATATATGTAATATAAAATTCATACACTCCCCAATGATTTCTTTTTTCCACTAAATATTATTGTATGTGTAGTGTACTATTTAATTAAATATATTCAACATCATTATCTTGTTTCCTTTCTACATTCACAGCGACAAATGAATGGCAACAGGAAAGAGAAAGAGAAAGAGAGACAGACAGACAGAGAGAGACAAAGAAAGAAAGAGAGAGAGGGGGAACAAAGATATAAAGAAAGAAGAAAGGGGTAGGGAGCGTCCATTCGTTAAGAATGTTTACTCCTTTAACTTTTTATTAATTAATGTATGATAACTTATTTTTTTAAGAATTTGAATTGATCTTTATTTCATTCATCATAAAAACATCATAAACAACATATAAAATACAAAACATAGCGTTCAAGCTAAAGTGAGACATTTACAATAGAATACAACAACATCAACAATTTCATATGAATGTGGAGACAGCTAGGAAAGCCAAAGGCGTTATTGGTGCTGCCGCCGAAACAGTAATACAGTATAATATTGTTGTTTAAAAAGGTGATTTAAAAATAAAAACTAATGCCTAAATAGAGGGGGGGGGGATAAAAACAAAAACAAAAACAAAAAACCTGACCTGACCTGAATAAATCTTTATTTATTTTGCTGGATTAGAAATGATTTATATCTCCTTTTAAAAACTTTAATTGATTGATTGATTTATTATCATGAGGTATATTATTCCACAATTGTGGCCCTTTAAAAAATAAAGATTTTTTAAGCTATATTTAGTTTTATTTTATTTAAATGAAAATTAGAAGAACCTCGAGTATTATATGAATGTATAGCAGAATTAAGACAAAATTTGCTGGAAAGACTAATTAGTATACAAATTATTAAAACATAAATACATGAATATTGCAAAACTATAATTACAAAGATCTAGGACATTCAAAAGTTGTTTAAGTTTAGAAATAAAGTGGGGAGCGGTGGTTCATGCTCTTCGCAATTTTTGTTAAAACGTATAAATAAATATACATTTGTTTAGGGGGGGGGGTAGAGGATTTTAAAGAAGGAGTGAGATCTTAGATCCACTGGTCTATAGCAGAGAAGATCACTGGTAGTGGAGACTTTCCTGCTAGAAAATTGCTACTAATTTTGCACTAAGTAACGATCTCTTTACTAAAAAACGTCGGGTGACACAACAAGTTCAGTCAAACTGTAGGTGGCGCTGTCTATACGTTTCTTTTAAGATCCTATGTAATTATGATCTCTATGATAAGTTTATAAATTGTTTTGTATCTGATCATATTTTGATTTTATCGATGTTGCGATGAAACTGCTTATTGAAGTCTTGGTAAGGTTTTGTTTCGTGGGGAATGGGGAATTAATATTTAAAACGACCGGAATCTGTTCTAAGTACGAGGTCGCTTGATGGCGACTGTATAATGCCCAATATTGATGTAAGCATAATAAAGATAGATTTGGTTTGCATAATCCAAATTACTATGTCGTTCCCACCTATCTATCCCATCAGGGCCGTGAACATAATGACTATATTCGTTTCCTGTCCAACATTGTAAATATTTAATGGTGCTTTATTTTATGCGCCCTTCATATTTGTAACAATAATATTTCTGAACATATCTAAAAGATATCGACGGGTTTTGAGTCGACTGGCGACAATCCAAGAATACTCCTTGTTTTCTTCGTTTAGAAATTGAAAATACATCGCGCTTTCAAACAAATTTCCCCACTATCTTCTTTCTACCCTGAAGTAGCGCTGCTCATATCGGATTTCTTCGACTTGCTTCCAGTCCCTCTCTCCTATGTCTGTCAATTTCCTTCCGAGCCTGCC